GAGACTTGACCCTAAATTACCTAACTAAGCAAACTATTCTACTTCCTGACTGACTTTACTAGCAGGACACACTTCGCTGTCCAGCAGCTGACCTAAAATGTTATATACATCTGAGATGACATTTATCTCAAGGAAACTTGCCAGACATATTCACAGATATAAATACTGTAACCTGTTACTTCTTATTTGAAGAAAAGGAAGATATTTTATTATCCAAATAGACAAATTGGAGGGAATTCAAAGCAAATGAAGCTTTTTTTTTCCAAAGAATTTTTTTCAGAGGCAGAAGGGGAGAGAGAAGCGTGCATAGTTTGCCTAAGTAAGGTTTGTCCTCTCATCCCTCTTCTGCACCATCTGTGCATCCACAGACTGTGCACAGGCTGTAAGAATGCAAGAGGATGAGCAGAAAGTCGTCTCATAGTGATCCTGCACTGGGCTACTACAAGGAATCTCCTGGGCTTGACATAGTTGCTGCACTTTTAGAGACACTTGAAGCTTGCTCTACCAAACTGAGACAGTGCCTTGGAAACTGGTGCTCTACTGGGGTAGAGTTGATTTTCGTCATAGCTAGTATGGGGTTGTGTTTTGGATTTGTGCCGAAAACAGTGTTGATAATACAGGGATGTTTTAGTTATTGCTGAGCAGTGCTTACACAGAATAAAGGCCTTTGCTGCTTCTCACACCGCCCCATGAGTGAGGAGGCTGGGGGTGCACTGGGTGGGGACACAGCCAGGACAGCTGACCCCAACTTCCCAAAGGGATATCCCATACCACATGACATCATGCTCAACAATAAAAAGCTGGGGGAAGAAGCAGGAAGGTGGGGGCATTCAGAATGATAGCGTTTGTCTTCCCAAGAAACCATTATGCATGATGGAGCCCTGTTTTCCTGAAGATGGCTGAGCACCCACCTGCCGATGGGAAGTGGTGAATGAAATCCTTATTTTGCTTTGCTTGTATGTGTGGCTTTTGCCTTAGCTATTAAACTGTCTTTATCTCAACCCACGAGTTTTCTCATTTTTACTCTGCCGATTCTCTCCCTCATCCCACCGTGGGGGGAGTGAGCGAGCAGCTGTGTGGGGCTTAGTTGCCAGCTGGGGTTAAACCACAACACTAGTGCAGTGTAGAAACCCCTCTGGGCTGGTTACATTATGTGGAGGCTACTGTTGAGCTCTTTAACAGCCCAGCTTGACACAAAAGAAATGTAAAGCTGTTTACCTACAATCCATCCTCCCACCTGCACTGTGTTGGGTCTACAAGAGGACAAAATAATAGTTTCCAAATTGTTGAAAGAGAGAAAAACTCAAAGCTGAAGAGAATTCTCTAAGAAGAGAACAAGTATTAGAACTTGCAGAGGTAGCAGGAGAATATTTTAAAGAGGAATGATTAGGTTAAGCTTCCCAGAAGTGAGATACAAGGAAAATCTGTGGTGAAAGAACCTGTAAAATCTTTACTTTGTCTCGTGTTCTTTAATCTGGGAGTTACTTTTTTCACTACTCCTGGTACTGTTCATGAATTTCTTCAACAAGGGAATAGCAAGCTGGAATATTGACCCTCTCTTGTTTCTTGGCTGGGCAAACTGGTTACTGGGAAATGCTGTTTTTCAGTGCCTTTCCTCAGAAGTATGGGCACTACTTCTGAATTCTTCAGTATTTCTTAGATGTGAAGGGTGTCAAGACCAGGGACCAACAGCCACAAACACAGATACAGTGCTGTGGCTTTGTGGTTAGAAGCTGGAATCTTTTGCCCCAGAGCTCTCACTGACCTGTAACTGCTTGAACTTATAAGGCCAAGCTGCTAGGAGAAGCAGGGAGAAGGGCTTTTTTCTTCTGTGGAGGTGGAATGGTTCTTCTGTTGTCTGAATAGCACTTTTACATATCCTGTAAGAATTTCTGTATGAAGGGTGGAGAATAGTGAGGTATAACGAGTTATGATTATTGTATGTGACTGAATCAAAGAAAGAAAATAATTTCTCAGTGTGTATAGGATAGTGTATGAATGTTTTTATCTAAATCAACTTTATTTTTCTAACACAGGCTGTGTTATAATAGCCGTATGCTATTTTCCAGGGCCTACAAAAGATGACTGGGAAAGGCATAGCTACTGGGAATAAACTTAAATTTGCTGCACTGTGGTCTGTCTCTCCATTAGAAAATCTTTAAGTGTCCATTCTGAAAAAAAACTGAAAGCACCTAACCTACTTAGTAAATGGGCTCTGTTTAAGAAAAACAGAATGGAAAAAGTAATAGCTGAATAGAAAAAACCAGTGATGTTGAACCCAGCATGCCTCTGAATGGAGAAGATAATATCTTAGCTGACTCCACCTCCATCAAAATGCTATGTTTTTTTTCCAGATCTGGGAACTAACACATCATAGGATATAAAGAGTTAAGTGACCTGCTCTTTGGAGCCGAAGGCATGAAGGAGAGGAGAAAGCTTTAAACAAGATTTGAAGAATTCTCCCCTTTGGGGCACTAGGAGATAAATATTTTGTGAGTTAGGGGCCAGGATTAGCTGGTCAGACCCTAAAGCAGGACTACTCAAGCAATGCTCCAGCACAGCTGCAAAGCAAACCAATTTTGATTGGGCTTTGCCAAAGTGCGGTGCAAGAACAAATAATAAAGAGTGCCTAGCTGCAAGGAGGAACTGGGACTGGGAACTATGAGCACTCTCTCTTCTTCATGTCCACATGCACATCCAAGGTGGGAGACGATCTCATCAGAAATTGTGTAACTTTGCATGGAGGTTTCAAGGCAGAGACTGTAGGGGATCTGGTCCCAAGATGTTCTGTTCTACTTTATAGTTTTAAGGTCTGTTCTGAGGTTTTAAGAAAATTGGCCCTGCCATTGCTACCAGCAGAAGCAGAGCTACCTTGTCAAGGCTGGCCTGCTGAGGGATTCACAATCAGCACAAGGGGAAACACCTCTTGGCCCTGTGTGAGAGTAGAGGTGCATGATTCAGTACTGGTTTATGGGGATGGTTAATAAAGGACTTGAAAACAAGACTCAGAGGATGCTCAGTGAGGCCACAAGAGGTCAAAAGTGTGTGTAAATCAGGAATCATGATAACCTAGAGACAAGAAAACAAGACTGTGGGAACACAGCTTCCCTGGGTAGAGCCATTATTTAAACTCTCTTAATTCGGCTTGCAGAGAGACAAGGATAGTTGAAAACAGTTCTGCTGAGCTCTTGATGGGATTCTGCCTGCGTTATGATGTTGGAGTTTGGCCTTGTAGTGTAAAGCAGTTAGGATATATACTACAGTTAGTATATATACTACTCCCATTCCTGCCAAATCTTGTTCTGCAAGTTGGTGCTGTGGGAACTATGATACCTTGTGTAAAGCAATTAGCATACTGGGAACAAAAAAGTTAACCTATTCAAATTTTAGAATGACTCTAAAAATGACCAGCCTCCTTTCTAACATTTAGGATCAAAGATCCCAAGATAAATGTTAACACTGTGATCATTAGCAGGGAGTAAAAGGTAAACACCACGGTTTGCTTTGCACTGAGGCCAACTTTTTTGTAGTTTCTGAGACCACACTGAGGTCTCACAGTGGCTGACTGGACTCATCTTTGTACATGGACCATTGGATTTACTTCCCATCATTGCAAACTCAGTGTTATATTTTTATATACAATCTAGAACATAGAAATAAATGGCATCATTATTATTGGAATGCTATATACTACTAAGCTGGAAAAAAAAAAGGGAACAACAGAAAGCGTCCTTTTGCTCTAACTTTCCTAGTGTGTTGCTGATCTTCCTTCTATGTTGTACATGAAAGCTGTTTCACCCCCAGCTTACATTCATGGAAAGGTAATGCTGTTCTCAGCTTCACAGCTGAGTAAAACTTAGTTTCCTCTGTCCATGATGGTGCTTACTGGGACAGTGCATTCACCAGTGAAAAGTGATCAAAATAAAGCAGCTTTGGTTCAAGTTGAAATTTATAGTTTTGAGCAGGACAATGTGGAGGCAGAAAGTTGAAAAAGTGAGCTCTGCCATATCCTCTTTCCCCTGAGAGGAGGGATGTCTGTTGTGGTCCAGACATCCCACACTGCAGCAATGTCAGCATACTCTTAGTGTAACCAGGGAGTCAAGTCCACTGGTATCAACAAGCCAGTGATTTTAGGCTTCTGCAACTTTGGGAAATTGCTCTAGATAGAGAGGGGCAAAAATGAGGGCAGAGTCAGGCCCAATACATTTGCCCTGACTGGAAGGAGAAACCAGCCCTTTAGCATTTTGTTCAAGTTGATACGCAGTAAAATCCTTCAGTGCATCTTATTCTAAATGCATGACACTCTCTGCAGTAATGAGACTGGGCATGGCTGCCAGGAGCCTTGAGGCGGATGCTCTCTTCCAAGGCACTGCATCACCTCCTAGGCTGAACCATGTTGTTGCCAGTATTTACAGATTCGCTGAGATGTATCAAAGCACTCCCAGCAGAGACACTGAACTGCACAGCCTGCCACCAAGAGATCTATTGTCTCTTCAGCGTATCGGGGAGGAACAGGCAGTGTACGTACATACACACACACACTCTCACACACACGCGCGCGTGCGCGCACACAGCCCGAGGGAGGTAAGTCCAGCCCCCAACAGCAGGGCCATCCTTCTGCTGCTGGATTTTTCCAGCCGGAGCATCTTGCTGGCTCTGCTGCAATTTATGTAAATTGGTTTCTGACGTGGGGCTTTTTCTGTTACGACAGGGACCCACTGACTGGAGGAGGCAGAGCTGCAGTCAGGGCAGGAGAAGAGAGGGAGAGGAAGAGGTGGGGAGCAGAGGGACACCAGGGGAGTGGAGAGGACAGAGGGAGAAAAAGACACAGAGACATAACTAAGAGAGCAGGAAGAAAGGCAGAGAAAGGGAGAGAAGGAGAGCTGTTGGGGAAGAGAAAGAAGCTCAGAGACTGAATCAGCCTCAGGAGGGCAAACCAGGAGACGAGTTCAGTAACATTCCAGCATACAAGAAGGATCTGTTCTGTCTGAATCTTCACCATGAGCACAAGGAAGAGCTGCCCCCTGCCACTGGGGCAAGAAGACCATGAGGAAAAGCAGAATGAGGGTAGTCCTGACCTGGAGCGACCCGAGTGTGAGGTGGAGCTGAGGAACAAAGCTATTCTGCAACAGAAGAGGCGCCTTAAACAGGCCACCCAGTTTGTGCACAAGGACTCTGCTGACCTGCTGCCCCTGGACGGCTTGACAAGGCTTGGCACCTCCAAGGACCTGGTGAGTCCAGTGGTACCCCATTTGGGAGGGTGTCCTCCTAATAGCCTTCATCCCAGTTAGGAAATGCTGTCAAGCTTTGTGAAAGGATTATGGGTTCAGCAAAGATGAAACTTCCCTTCAGCATCATCTAGGAACAGGTCAGGGTAAGGGGAAAGAATGAATCACTCATTTTTTTCATCCATCTTCCCATGCATCCCCATAGGGATCAAACTCCTCACAGAGGCAGGAGGCATGGACTGGAAGGACTCTTCAGAATCCAACTTTCCACTCACCTGGTACACATGTGTTCATCTGACATGTATGCTTCAATGTGGGACATGTCTGAAAGCCCCCATGTATTCCTGCATGATCCAGCTCAAAAGCAGACTCCTTCCTGGACTCAGCAGAGAGGGAAGTTCATGAAACCCTGAGAGGCTTAAGTTTGACCTTGTCACCTTTTTGCATTATTCTCCTTCCCCACACTCTTTGGATTTCTGGAGGAGCAAGCACAGGCAAGACTGCTACCCAAGGTGTGCAGGCAGCTGCAATGGCTGGCACCCATGGATGACACCTTGGGGGACGAGGCACAGAAGTGAGGCCTGTGGGTGTCTCCTTGTGGAGACGGAGCAGGAGGCATCAGGGAGGGGATCTGTTCCAGGAGCCTGGGCAGTCTATGGTCTGGAGGGATATCCCCAAGGCTGGGAGCAGTTTCCCATGGGATCTCTTGCTGGCTTAACTGCACGCATCTCCCCCTTGTTCTGGCAGTTTTGCTGTCTAACTTCTCTCTGCTGTGGAGTTTAACTGCTCAAGGATGCAGAGGTCTAAACCATTTTCCCAAAAGAGAGCCTGGGTCTGGCCAGTGATGGGGGCAGATAAGTGGTTCTTATTCCAGCTGTGCCAGTGGATGTCATAGAAGATTTTGCCTCTCCCTGCAGCCTCTGCTTTGCTACGTATCCTCAGACTGTTGCAGCAACACCACGGTTGCTCGTGCTTGTGTATCATCTCCCCTCGGTCGTTTCCCAGCTGCTGTGAGCAGGCCCCACGGCTGTCGGCAGCAAGGTGTTGCTGCACTCAGGGGCACACGTGCCCGACAGGCAGGGTCCCAGGCACTCGGCCTGAATAAAAGCTATTCTCCTTGCTGAGACCTTCTGGTGGAGCAGCCCTGCTGCGCACAGACGAGAGGTCAGTGCCACGTTCCCATGCTGGCGCACCTTCCTGCTCCCACCACCCTCGCTGCAGCTGCCTCGGCTGCTGCTGAGAGTCCCTGGCTTGGCAGGGTCAAGGGTGGCTCCTCAAAGTCACCCTGAGCTGTTGCCTCATGGTCTGCCAGCCCTTCTGCAGCTGCACACATGGCTGTCAGCAGAGACTGGTCTTGAGCATCCCTCTTGAGCACCCCTCTGGCCCTGAACACAGTTGCTGTCTGAAGTACAAGAGGAGAGTCACATATGTGTCGTGTGGGCAAGGAACAAGGCCTCTCCTCCCCGTGGGGAAGGAGGTCTGGCCACACCTGAGCTTGGAGAGCCCAGTTCAGGCTGGCAGCACAGGCAGGCTAACACTGGCCCTTCACGCCCTGCAGGACTGCAGCTGAAACATCTCCTCAGGACATAAACCTGGGCTCTTCCTTGTACAGCTTTCAGCAGGGAAAGGGGAGGAGATACTTTTGAGTTTTTTAATGCATGTTTGCTGAGCCCAGCCACAAAGGCAGAGAGAAACATGTCTACCTGCTTTGCTTTGGAATTGACTCCTGTCACACCATGCCCCAAATAGACAACTGTGGCCACAGCCAGAGGCCTCTGTGAGAGTCCTGCACAGCACGGGTGGCAGTCTTGGCCTCCAGAGGCTGACACTGAAACCCCAAATGCTTGCTCTAGCAAGACAGGCCTTGTCCAAGCTGCTTGCCACGAGTGGCTCTCCTGGTGAAATTAACCGTTTTAGGCAGGAGACTTCCTTGCATGCAGTTGGCATTTGGTCACTGAAAACCACTGCATAGTTCATGTTTGGTCCATAACAAAATGGTTGAAACATTTTTACCATGGAGCTAGGGAGCAGTGAATAAAGCATAACATCTTTTCTGCCATGGAAATTTTGTACTGATGTTAGAAGGCACAAAATAAAGTGGCACCTGTGCAAAATTCACATACATAGTGCCATACCTGGGGTCAATGTGGTAGCTGTGGTGGTACCCACCTTTCTGGTTTACCTTGGAGCAAGAAAAGAACCAGGCCTTAGATTTCCAAGAGCAATTCAGCAGTCCTTGCAACCTGACGGGCCAATGTGATACCACTGTGATGTTTCTGGGGGCTGCAAATTAGAGTAAAAATTATGCTTTCAGGCACTCTTCCAACCTCATGGAAAACTCCATCTATGTTTCCTAAATTGTCTTCCTGGAGGACAGGAATGCAGGGCTGCAAACAAAATCCTAGAGAGGTTGATCTTGGAGAGAGTGCAAAACACCCAAGTCCTATAGCACTTACACTGGGAGAAGAGTTTAATTAATTCCCCAGAACATGTCTCCATTGACAGTGCCAGAAACTCCAGCTGTGGCAGCTCTGCATGTCCTAAAATTAGAGCAAGGCCTCACGACATTTAAAAAACCTACATGTTTTCTTATACAGTCAAAGTCAGGCTGTTACTTTTTCCCACTCTTTTCTGTATATTCTGGGTGTGCATTTGGCTTATGCAATGTATCCAGCAGTGTCTGGGATTTGATGGGCCCATGACATCTCCAACAATAAGTAATTATACATTCCAATGGAGACATCACATTTCCAGCTTTAAAACAACTACAAGCATGACTTTTTTTTTTTTTAAATGGCCAAAACAATAAAAATAGCTGCATGAAGTAAAATATTCTGAAAGTACCAAGCAGGTTTGAAGATCTGGCTTCTCTCCTCCCTAAAATCAAGATTCCCAGCTCATACCACTTCACTAATCATAGCAAGGCCTTGAAATTTCACATTGGAGAGCCTGAACATGATGAGTTGCACTGGGAACCTGCTCTGATCCTTCTAAGAGTCTTGAGAGGACCTCCATTCCAGCTGCTGGCCACAACTCCCTTCAGGTCCTCCCTCACCATCCTCTTCATCTCATTCTTACCAGACCAAGAGACAATGGTCTCTACTTCTCCATCTCAGTGGTGAGACAGAAGACAGGGATGGCCCCAGGAGTCTGCTCTTGAATCAGGTGCCTCCACAGTCCCAAAGCTCAGCTACTCCCCATCAGTGCTTGGCCTCTTCCCAGTCTGAATGATAAGAAAGGGACAGAGGTGGCAGCTGCAAAGGGCCTGCTTTTTCTGTGGGAAAGGTTGCGGGGAGAGGGAAAGGTCCTTTGCATGCCAGATTGTGAGAGGAGACAAGGAGGGAAGATGGGAATTTGAAGACTTGCTGTTGGTTCCCTGCCCTTTTCCCATGGCCCAGACGTTAGCTGGCAGCCAAACTGGCACTGTGCTCAGAGTATTTAGGGAATGAAGTATAACGGCAGCTGTGCTGTAGACCTGCACAGGAGGCTGGGAAATTACCAGGAACAGAGGGATATTTTTACCTCACTTTTTCAACTACTGCAATGTCTTTTATGCAGCGTATGAGTGATCTGACTCCTGCCCCTTGAATGATGGGGAAATGGAGGCATGAGGGACTCCACACCTTGCAAAGAGCAATGCTGAGTGCAGCCAAAGAGCCAGTATCAGCTCTGTTGCCCCAAACATTGAGCAAAACTGACAAGTCAGTGTGCTTCGACTTGCAATTTACACACTTCCCCAGTCTCAGCCCTCTGATGAAGCATAAAGCTAAGTCTGAAGCACACACACCCTCTAGAGTTAATACAGCCCAGCTCATTGGGAGGTCTGGTCTAATTCAGATGTTTGGCCTGCACATTGATAAGATCCTACATCAAACTGCTGCACCATCTGGAAGCTGATTTTAAAATTTTTTTCAGAAAGATAAAAGCAACAGTTTATGCTGTGGCACATAATCCCCTTTAGAGTCATTGCCTTTCTTCATAGGCAGTTGTTGCTGAGAACGCTATTGTCAGCTCTGAGCAGCTGCTCTCTTGGAGGAGGGCCATGGGGCCAAGTACATGGAGAAGGGACAAAGCTATCTCAAACAGGCCTACTTCATTGATGCTGCCCATTGTTGATTCAGTAGCTGTGCAGGAACTGGAGGCACTGGATCAACACTGGGCAAAGCTAGAGCATCAAGCTGGTGACAAAGGGAGCTTTCTTTCCAAAGCAACACCTTCCTGTGTGTGTATGCAATATCAGGATGAGAATTTTTTCACAAATTTTCTTCCCTTTTGGTGCACCCTCCCCTTCTTCTGCCCAGAAGGAGATAAGAATGAAATAGGAATATGTGATACATGAGATATGAATGAGACACATGAGATGATAGGAATAAAGCTCCTTCAGCTGTTGATCTGGCTGATGGTGCTCCCTTCTATCTGTGAACAACATAGGGCTTCATAGATGCTCCCCCAGCAAGGAAGGGAGTCAAAATAGTGTCACTTCTGATGGAGGAGTGCAGAGACAGACTCCATAGAACATTAGAAGCTAGTTTTAGTTTCCTATGCAAGGGAAGCTACCTGCTTCACTACAAATAATTGCTTGTACACCTAAAATTTCTGGAGTCCTGCCTCCCTACCCACATGAACATCACACATATGCTGCATTCCTCATTAGAAGGTGTGAATGTGCCTGGCTGGATGTCAGCACACACCCACCAGGTAGTGTACTGCAGTACCTGAAGAGGTGCAAGACTGCCGAGTACATGTTTAGCTGAAGGAACATACAGAGAGAGCATGCATCAGGCATGTTTTTCTCCTCCAATAATTGCATCCCATAGACCTGCCTGTCACAGACACTCCAACAATTTAACATCACCTTAGTAGCTAAAAAAAAACCCTTGGGATTTAAAGAATGTTTTTTGCTATAAGCCTGTCTTTCATCAGGATGATCAGCTGGGTCAATCATTTGCAATCTGCTTCCCTGGGCTAGCAAATGTCCTTGTCCTTAGCTCCATACTTAGCTGGGATTTCTCTTTCTTTGTGACGGAGACAGCAGCCACATAGTGTGGTCCAGCGGCGCCTCTTGGAAGGCAATCTGAACAAGCTGCGGGGCGAGACCAGGGTTCAGTCTGCATGGGTTCAATCTCCACTGGCAAAAGACCAGGATGAAAAGATGGAAAAGGGAGAGGACAGGAGAAAAGAGACTTCATCCCTGCTAATACAGTGCCAGGTAAGGCAACAACATGGTGCTGCTGATTTCACAGTGATGGCAAATGCTCAGTGCGTTCCAGCTGCTCCACTCCCAAGGGCCATACTGAGTTATTAATTGCAAAGCCAGCTGCAGCCAGAGAGAGATTTCCCGCATGGCCTCTCCTAGAGTTTGGATTCAGTTCTTCCAACAGGCAGATGAAAGCCTTTCTACCACATGCATTCTAGTTGTCCATATTTGAAGATAAATTACCTTAATCACATCTCCTTCCTTTGGAGGCCAGCTTTCCCATGATAAGAGGTATTTCATAACTGCCTACAGAAGCAAGGAGTGTCTCCTTATCACTTTAAGACAGGTGCCCCTAGTTGATTTAACTTGCTGGATCCAGTCTGGTCTGATTCTCTCAGGTGTCAAAGGACCTCCTAAGAAAGTGGCTAACTGTGCTCTGAATTAGCGTTGTTACACTTCTTGATGGAACCTGTATTTTTAGCTCCCTTTTCTTCTTACATCCTCATGTACAGCAGAACACAATCCTCTCTGACCCCTTTAGGTAAGAAAGCACATCCAAAAGCTGTGCCCCATGAAAGAAGTCTTGCATGGTTAGAGCTGTTCAGTAATATGCAAATATGAAACTCACCAAGATATAGACCTAGTGTACAAAATCCATTTTAAAGCTGTGTTTATTTCAGTTACCTGTCCTAAAGAACATATCACATGTTAAAGTATAGAGTCTACATTTCCAGGAAAAACACATATACCTTTGAAAATTCAGTTGGCACAATTAATTATCATATGAATACAGCCTGGTAGCAAGTTTTCTGAATTGTTCAGCTCAAGTGCCTCTGTACCATGCAAAGCCACACTCTGGTTTGTTTTCTAGCCTTTACTGTTGCAGTTAGGCCTTGCTTACCCTGGGTTTTAGACTCTGATGCAGCTAGGTTGACATAACCATACTTGGGAAAACCGATCAGTAGGATGAATAGCTCTCAGTGTAATTTCTCCAAATTGCTGAGGTCTTTTTTTTTTTGAGCAAATGAAGGTGTTTCTTTTTCTTTAATCACCACTCTGTTGTTCTGTAAGAGGAAGTTAAGTGATAAACGGTGTTTTTTTGCCAGGCATGTACATCAAACAAGGACAGCCGTGCATATCCCAGGGGCAGTAGGTCAGAGTCCACTACTCATTCCCCTTTTGTGTTTCTAATGGACTCTAACCCAGGTGTCACATGCATTATACTTTCCTTCATGGAGGAAGGTTAATGAATATCACAGTCAAGGAAATAGGTTTAACACTGCGCTTAATTCTCCCTGAACCCAGTATCTTCTGCACATGCATTTCTCTCTTTTTCTGCCCTTCTTAAAAGCCAGTCACCGTTTGCCACACTTAATCTTCTTACATTGAAGGAAGGGAAGCTCTCCTCTCCTTCTTTTTAATCTTGCTGCTTTTCACGTTCACATTTTTGAACTTCAAAAAGTCTCAAAAAAACCTGTAACGGATCTACGGCATGAAATAGCACTCAGGCTGCCAGTTAATTTTAACCAGAGAGGTGAGCTGGTACCTTTTGGAGAACTGCTTGACTGTGGTGTAGTTTTTATTAGAAATGGAACATGACCCCAGTGAAGTCTTTTGTCTCTGACAGCAGAAAGATCAAGATCTTGAAAGGACCATCTACCAGCATAAAGCTTCCATTTACACTCAGGCAAATATGCTGAAAATTTCAAAGAGGTAACAAATGCATCACCTGACTAGTAACTGAACTTGAATAGGAAATAAAGCTGAATATATGTAGACTTAAGAGCTACAGGGAGATTCAGGCAATAAGTTTTTTCACTCTAACAGCTTACAGTTGCCCTGTGCCTAAGGCCTTTTTAAGTTTCAGAGGTCACAGAGAGACCCTGTCTATAATAGTTATACTGCAGAGTCACTCACCCTCCTATGTACTTAGGTGGGTTGCTCACATGGTAGCAAGAATTAACATGGTTAGCAGAAGTGCCCCTTTTTGTGGCAGTTTTTGCAAAGCACTTTGGAAAGCTTATCATGACTGGCATCTGCATCATAAAATCAAGCTGTTATTTTTTGTGGTGGGGCTTGTCTTTCATTGAGTTGGAAACAGGTGCTGAAAGATTCCACTGCTATCCAAGGTTGTTTTTTTTCTGTGCCAAAGCAACCTGGGATTAATCAACCTGGTTGGTTAAAGCAGCTTGTTGACTTTGGAACTGACATTATTTCAGAAAACAAAGCTTGCTCTGTATAAATGCTGATCCTTAATGATTCCCCTCCCCTCTTTCTTTTTCTTAGAAATCCCCATAATTGACCTTTAGATAAAGACTAATAGGGACTGGTAGTAACAGACTGAAAATCCTGGGGCAGAGGTGACGGTGGGCAACGTGATGAAAAGTCCTCTTAGTCCAAGAAGTCTTTCAGTACTCATCAGCTGCCTGTGTACTCTTTACCTGATCTGCATTGTATTTGTGGTATGATGGACCAAGGACTCTCCTCAGGCTCCTGGTGAATTCTCTGGGCAAATGGTTAGTGGTCTAATTGGAAGGTGGATAGCTTTTTTGAGGCTGCTGGAGCTCATAACTGTGCAGGGTTGTTTACCACTGACTGAGATGAAAAGTCATTTTCTATAGAATAATCACTGTCCTGTTGTATCTTAGCAAGTTTCTAACTTGCAACTGTCCCAACCTGCTCTGAAAGAAAACTCAAGAATCTGCCTAGTGATACAGTTAGGTTTGTTATCACAACAATGCTAACAGCTCATGCATCTCAGATCTGCCTACTCTTTAGCAATTGCTATCCATACTCCAGGTCTTCTGTTTCTGAAGAGCTTATACAATGCCTTCTTTGTAGCTGGGCAATGAACAGTTGGCTTCTGTGAGACACAGGGATGGTTAACTCTTTCCCAGTAGAAACCATGCCTGTTAATGAGGAAGAGCTGATTCAGCTGGACACTGTAGTCAGGTTGCAGTCTGGGCAGATGTGGCAGAATACCTGACCTGACACTCATGGCTAATATACTCGCTTAGGTAGTGAGGAGGCACAAGGAAGTCTCTACTATAAAGCACAGTACAGAGGATGAGGAGGCAGATGCTTAGCATGTATCTGCACTTTGTGCTTTATCTTGCCTCTCTGCTTAGTCTGGCCATAATCCTTCCAGGCAGAGCTGATGTGTCAGTGAGGACTAGACAGCACAGACATTACAGAGCTCTAAAAGCAGAAGGGGAGGCATTTTGTCATAGAATCATAGAATGGTTTGTGTTGGAAGGGACCTTAAAGATCACGTAGTTCCAACCTCCCTGCCATGGGCGGGGATAAGGGACTATCCGCTGGGTCCAGTCAATTTCCAGGCTGTTTTTTCTCTAGAAGCCTGGACTTTGTAATACCAACTTTTGCCACAAATAGCTGTTGTCATGAGGTAAGGCAGGATCTTTCTGGTTGGCCTTGGGGACCTCTATGGGCACTACTCCTAGTCCTGAATGTTTAGACTTGACGTGCCAGGCAGCCTGGAGCCATGGTGGCAATGTTTTTTCTTGAACAAGCAGAAGTATTGACAAAGTCAGGAGCTTCTAAATAGGGTGCTTTGCAGCTTTTCCCCTTCTGTGAGGCTCTAGCATGCTTCCCCACTTACTTAAAGCAGATCTGTGCCAAGAGGCAGGAGGCATGCATGAACAAAAACCAAGAGAATGGGTACACATTCTGGGAACAGACAGCAGCTCAGCTGGGTCTCCTACCAGCTCTGTCATGTGTAATCTGTATTATCACGGGATGGCAGTTCAAGGTGCTCCACAGTGAAACACGACTGCTCATTTGTGAAGGAGCTGGGGGAATATTCCTGTATGAATATGCAAAGAACTGCAGAGAGGGCTTCTGGGGGCTGGTTTCTCTGTGGTCTGACTCTGTTTCATGAATCTTCCAGCTGGTATCAGGTCAGTTAAGCTTTGTGTTCTCCCAATCTGTGACCGTAGTTCTGTGGCAATTTCCATACTGTGTGCCAAAGAGAAGACTTGGATTGAATGTATGTGCCAGTGTGGCTGAGACTGTGAGAAGCACATGATATAATGGGGAAGGCACACTGGGACTGTTTTAATTGGACATAATTCTTTATGAATAAGACATGCTGTTTTACATTAAAGAAGAAAAAAGTGTAATAACCAAATCAGGAGCTGTTGAAAATATGCATCTGTGCTTATTTTCTGTGTAGATACTTCTTGAGCACTGCTTTCTTTGCTCCTGCATAAGGCCACATATGATGAATGTTCTTCTTCTAAAACCACTGATGTTATTTAAATATACATCATATAATACATATATGTCTTACATGATTCTTGGTGAACCCTGTAAAACAATATAGATTGAGATCTCTAGCTCCAGTGGTCTTGCAGTTCTTGAAAATTTCTCAATTAAGTGGCCATTCTGAGAACATGGTGTATCTAAATGTTCAGAATGATAAAATTTTCTACACTGATGTACTGCAGATGTGGTTTAGACCAGAGGAAGAGCTCCAAGACAAAACAGAATTGAATTTTCCAGCATGCATTCCCCGGAAGTTGCCTTGAGTGCAATTAGCACTCAAGCTACTATTGATGTTGTGTCGGTTTGCAGCATTCCAGTATTTCTCACAGGAGGTATTTTCTCCTTTCCCTTTACACTCACAAATAGCACATTTTTGAAAAAGAAATCTTGGAAATGCTGGATGTAGCTCTCTGTGATGATTAACCCATGTAATAATCATAAAAATATTTAGTTAAGAAATCAGGAAACTGAGACATCTTCCTTGACCTTACTGGTGTTGCACAGAGTCCCTGATGGTCATGCTGATCTGCATAAGATGTTCAAAGCATTTAAGCTTGTCAGAAATTAGCATAAGGGTAGAAGAGCTGTGGGGGGTCTGTTGCTGCTTCTGAGTGGCTCATGGCACTGCGTCCCATGGTGGATGGAAGAGAAGGAATCACAGGAAAGATACAAATAATAGCAGGAAGAAAATGAGCCTCCTAAGATGGAAACTTTGTGGTTGTGGTTTTTTTGGGTGTTGGTGCAAGACAGAGCCTTGAAGGACTAGGCCATCAAGAATGGGTATCAGTAGGCACTATAGGTAGCTGCAAGCCATATTTTGTAGATGGCAGTTACTCCATCTTTTCCAGTTCCTTTACTAAGTCCTGCTCCTCCTTTTTTTTCAGAACATAACTCTTATTGATATCCTTCATGACCATATTTTTTCAGACCTCTACCATATATGAGACCTGCTGTTACTTCAGCCTGCCATTAAGGACCTCTGTGCAGAGGGGACAGAAAACAGATGGGAACCACATCTCCTGTTCCCTTTCAAGTGCAAAGGGGTGAAGAATGAAGTGGGCAAGGCACTGGGGATTATTCCAGTAAGATCATGCAAGAATGATTTGGGTGCAGGGCATCCAGTCTCTCCCTTTACTAGATGACAGCAGCTGTGAATATTGTCATTATAGTGTTCATGTCATATTTCCTTATAGAGCTGTCTAGGAAGTTAATGTAAGCCCCACACATCTCTTGATTAGGTATGGATGTGTCAGTTATCTTGGGAACTGCCTTAAATTCAAGGTCTTCTCAGGGATGGTCCTGGGTGCTCCTGCTTCTCCCACAGACTTCTCCTTCTGGAAGCTGTTCAACTGAGAACAGATGTTTAGCCCTGGAACATTGTTCCCTGTGACAACAGAAGAAATGGAGAAAGGGAACCTACAAAGGCTGAAGCATATGCTTATATTCCTTTAGAAGCTTTTGCCATATCAATTATTGCTCTGCTAATGAAGTCCATGTGGGTTTTCTGTACAAATTCACTAGTTATGCATCTCTTGACTGGAATACTCCTAAGCTGCAGTCGCTAATAAGTGTCAAATTAAAGAAGACAAATTAAAAAGGAAGCCTTTAGCAGAGGTTTGCAGAGCACTGGGGAGACCACCATTGTCTCAGATGAGTCTCCTGCCTTCTGACTACTGCCTAAAACACCGCATCTTTGGCTGTGTTGCTAAGGAAGGTCTAAGGGATTGTCACACTGTTGGAGGAGTAGGTATGCCTATTTTGAGCCCACAGTAATTATCTGTTGTTGTTTTTTCTAGTGCCAAGGTCAGGTATTGAAAGCGACTGTTAACACTGGGTGTCTACCAAATCTCATCTCCAAGAGCTGTTTAAACCAGCTGGGGTAAGTCTTTGCACAGTAGAAAAAGAGGGGTGGCTAAAAGAAAACCTAAGGCAAGAACCTAGGCACTCTTGATTCCCAGCCCCAGTGATAATTACTAGCAGCTTTGCATGTGCACATGCCTGTTTTAGGAGAAGATGCAGAGGGTGGGTGAGAGACATCAGGAGCACTGGCAAAGTTGTGTGCAGGCCCCAGACTAGGAGGCAGAGCTATGTCATTCTGTGCGTGTGTACTGCAGGGCAAAGCTGCCCAGCTGATGGTTAGCCTCAGCAGTGAGGAACCCAAATGGGCAGTGCCTTATGGTTTTGCTTGTGGAATCTGCCTCCAGACATGCTGTATGAAAGAGATTCCTCCTCTTGTGGGCCTGTTTTGAATGAGACCAAGAAGTACTGCCACCAGTGAGAAGTCCTGTTTTCCCTTCTCTTCCTCCACTTGAGGCAATAACACCTCTTGTGTCCCACAGGCTGGAAGAAATGTCTGCCATGGACTGTGGAGACCTCTCTCTTCCCATCTCCAGCGTTGTTGGCCGAGTAGAACATATGGAGTTGCAATTTGGGCACAAGACAGTGCTGTGTTCAGCACTGGTCGTAGGTGAGAGTGCCAGCCCCTCCTCTCCCCCAGTTTTCCTGTGTCCCTCTTGCCCTGCAAAGGGCATTTAAAAAGGATCTCTGGGAAAAGTGTAACATGATGGGAGGCTGGTGATGTGGTCACCTCCACTGCTGGCCAAGATCATTATGCACTGTCAATACCCTCAATGTAGCCAAAGGCAAAGGGCGTAGGAAGAGTACAGAGAAGACAGAAGATTTTGAAAGTGGGGAGAAATTAGGTGTTTTCTGGTCTTAACACAGGATGTGGAAAATTCTCATTTCCTTCTAAAATGGACCTTTCTTAAAATTATCCAGACTGCTTGATTAGTCCTCTGGTGCCCTATGATCTTCTATTGAATGGGTACTTGTGTCTTTGGCTGGATGGAAGTCATCGGAGAAACCGACAGAGGGTACAGCTTATTCCCTAGACTGTTTCTCTGTGTACTCATCTGCTTCTGCTGCAGGGAGCACCCTGGAAGAACCTGGTAGTCCCAGAGTGCTGAGTCTCCCTCACTGCCCTGAGGCAGGACCCTTTGAAGGGAGGAGCTGTAGGAGAAAAGGTCAAATCAGCAGACATTGGACCATGCCCAGAAAACAGTAGAAAGGCTGCATGTTCTGCACTTACATCAAGCTGTGCATATGCTGAAAACAGTTTAGTTGTCTTTTTTCCTCCTGTTCTTTCTCCCTGTTAGTCTTCCAGCTTTACCCTCTTGCCTTTATCTGCTCCTCATCTTTGATGAGTACTATTCTCCCTTGCTCCCTATTTTCATATCCATTGTTCCCACTTTCCTAGTCATCTAGAAAGAGCTTCCTCCTCTTTCACACTCTAGCTCTCTCTTCTTTCCTGGTTTCCCCTCTACATGTTCTTGCCCTTCATGGGGAGCCTGTATTAGTACCAGCACAGGTGAATTTAGCCCAGTAGCACCTATCCATTTTGCTGGGATGTGGAAATGGCTGCCTGAAAGGAGCAGAATTGCTATGTCTGTCCCTTACATCTCCTTGTGCATGCAGTGGTCTTGCTTATGTGGTTATAAATAAATTATAAAATACAGCCACTGGTTGCAGGGAAGGCAGGCATCCAGGAGACATGGGAAGTGTTAATGATGTTACTGGTGGTTGCTGAATCCTGCTGACTCCAGGAGCTGGGGATTCCTCCTTCCCTGCCACTGAAGTCCACATAGATGACTCTTAGACCCAGGAGGTTGCTCTCACCCAGTCCAATGCATGTTCTTAGTGGCAGGTTCAGACAGTAGTAAGGCTGAACATATATTCTAGAGAGGCACATACAGAGAAGACAAAGACAAGCACAGCCACACAGACTACCACACACAGAGCGGTGCCTTTCCCATCACTCACATAAACACCAGCACAGACAGCCCAGTCCTGGTCCTCCTCTCTGGCTGACCAGGATTGACATTCACTAAGCAGAAGATCATACATCCTCAATCTCTAGATTCACAAGCACACTCATATTCACAGAGCCTTCACATAACAGCACTGCTTCTAGGTCTGTCTTATATACGTCTGGACCTTGGGCACCTTACCTAGCCACTGACCCAGACCTTGAGTCTTTCTAGATGCAGGTTTCCTGGTTTCCTCCTACTCACTGGCCAGACCAGTTTGCTAACTAATTATGTATACAAAATCACAAGCATATAGGATTAAATTCACTGGGGAAATATAAACACACCCAAGTCTTTCTAATTAGTGGCATTTAGACCTCTCACACATATGCCCTGTCCTCTTCAGTTGCTGATTTAGGCCCATGTGACCCTGGTTAGAGTTGGTACCCAGAGCTCTCTTGCATGCTGATCTCTCCAGTTGCTGGCACCTAGACCTACAAGCTCTGTGACCCATAGTCCTTCTTCATTTACTGGAACTTAAACCTTGCAGCACACATTGCAATCCCTGCAGTTGCTGGCACCTAGGCATATAAGCCCTATGGCCTGCGCTCCCTTTCCCAGTTACTGGCACCCAGACTTGCACACTGGTCTCTCTAGTTGCTGGCACCTGTGAGCTACGTCCCCTTCTCCAGTTGCTGACACAGACATAGCCCTGTGGCCTATGGTCCATTCAGTTACTGGCACCTCTCTTGCATGCCAGTCACTCCGGTTGCTGACATCTAGAGCTATTTGCCTTTTAACCCGTGGCATCTTCTACACTTGCTGACACCTAAGACTTGCAGAAGTCACATGTAAAGCTAAAGGAGTTATACAGAAAAAAAAAAAAATTATTTAAGATCAGACAGTTTGCATCCATCAAGTGCAGGGTTCAGTCAGACAAGTGAACTGACCAACAGCCTGCTTACATGTGACTGGCCCCCTTATCCCCTCTCCTCTCCATTTTTCCATGCTTGTTCTTCCCTGATCCACCCTGCTGCTTGCCTTCTCCTGCCTTTGGCCTTTCCCCTACACAGCCCATAGTAAGTTTTACATGATCCCACAAGCCCCTTCTGATATCTCATAGTAAGTTTCAAATTCCCTCTAATATCTCATAATACTGATGATAATCATGGTTCCCTCCTCTTATCAAAAAGTTCATTGTGACCCTCTTCAGGGCTGTGCCTAAGTAGCTCCTTTGATCACTCATCAGTCAGTGGCAGAAGAGTGTTGGTCTTTGTTATTGTCACAGTTATCACCTGCTTGTTAATGTTTGTGTGTTTAATTAATCACTTTTTGTTACTTGTTATTTACTTTATACTGAATAGGCCATAACCATACAACTTTATGAACCAGATGCTCTCACATTGCACATCCTTTTACAGGAGAGACACACTTTCTTTAAAGGGGGAGTATATATAGTCTTAAGCCTGATCAGTCTCTTCTCTCTTCTCAGATGATGAAATGCTGGAGTTTTGCATTGGTCTCCAGACCCTGTTGTCTCTCAAGGTAAGAAACAGCTTCTTGCTTATTGCAGGGCTCCTCTCAAGAAGTTCTCCAAGATTTGGTTGCTGTAAGCGTCAGAAATACTTACATCCAAGTCTTCAGGGTGCCACTTGCAATGCTTGTTGCACAGCTGCCTGTCTAACTGCAGTAATCTCTGAGTCACTGATTCCTTTCCAGTCCTTCTTAAAGGTTTTAATAAAGGAATCACCCAATTAGATACTACCACATCTCCCATTCTTTGTATTCCGGACAATATAAAGTTGCAAATGGGAAGAGGAAACTGAAGAGGAGACAAGCAAAGGCAAGGGACACTGTGTCACAAGTTATATCTGTGTTGCCTTTTGAAGGTGGATGTGAACAAGCTCTGCCCTTGCTTTGTGCCAAATAATCATGTTCAGTGTCCAACACTAGCTGGACATGAGTGGAAAGAGTCCTCTCCTTTTGTCAGCTCAGCTCATGGTTAGTGCTCTGCTGAGGGTGGCTCCTGGGTGGCTCAGCATATGGCTGCAGCAAGCTTGTTCCTGCCTGTCAAATATTTGTAGCAACTTACCAAACACATGAAGCAGGTAAAGCATTGGGCTGAGTGATGTGAGGACATCACCTCAGATGGAGTCATAGGAAGAAGGGAGGGGAATGGCCCTGTGAAGGATTTGGAGAGGAATCAATTGAATAGGAGCAAATAAGCAGCAAGGGGGACAGGAGGGGGAACTGTAAAGTCTCTACAAGCCCAAAGTGGGGTGGTTTGGTGGTTATATAGGTTTTCCCCAGTCATAGACATCATGAGATTTACTATCATCTGAAATGTCCAGCAAGTAACTGACTTTCCCTTTCTTTAGTGTTGCATCGACCTGGAGGAAGGAGTCCTGAGATTTAAAGCACTGAGTCAAGAGCTGCCTTTTCTACATGCCTCTGAAGAGCCTGGTCAGTGACTGGCTGCATTCCCCATGCCTGGGGGTGAGGAGACTTGCTGCTATGAGAGACAGATGAGGGTGAGGCTTACATGCTGAGTTCTAGGCTCAGACATTCAGTGGGGAGTGAGAAAAAGGCAAATGGGTGCTGGAAGCTGTTGTTGCTGGGAGTGCCTCATCTTGAGAGATAGCCCTCCTTTTAGTGGACCCTCTTGCTTGTTCCCATGTGCCGAGTGGGCATTTTGTTCTTGTTTTGTTTTTCTATTTGTACCGAGTCACTCCAATTTCTGCTTCTGTACTAAATTCACTCTGACATTTTTACAATACCCTCTGTTCATAAGACAAGAGAGTGTCCATGAACAATTTCCAGTTGTTCTGTGACAGGAGGACAGTGCTTTCTCCAAAAGCCTCCAAAGATTGCAATGAATGTTTCCCTTCTCTTTGCCTCAACGTGAGCAGACTCCACTCTCGTTTGTTTGTGGCAAGGCTCTGTGGCCAGTCCCCTCACCTGTAGTCTGGAAATCTGGATTTTTTTACTTTTTGCTGGCTCAGAGCAGAAGTATTTTGCAGCAAGAACACTATTAGAGTTCTTAATTCTAAGAAACCTTTGCAGAAATGCTAAGCATAGATGCCTAGAGCACGGTGGACGCTCACAGGGGTTGGGCTTTGCCACTGCATCCTAAGCCACTAAGCTATATTATATGAATGGCAATGCTTATCATCTCTTGGTGTTATACATAGTAACCAGACTTGCACACCCTGTTCTTCTGACCAGGCCTCTCCTCTCTGCACTCCAGCTGCTAGAGCTACATTCCTACCAATCACCTCTGCTGCATCATCAAAGATCCTGCCACTCAGTTTAAATGCTGCCATGAATTACATCACCCAGAGTCTTCTGCTCTATCAGCTCCTTTCTTTCAAGTTTCAACTTGAACTCAGTGATTGGACACAGATACATGATCAGTGTCAAGTCCTGGCATCTCACAACCCATCAACTTTGCTGCTTGTGCATGAAACAAGAACTAGACTTCCTTGCAGTATCAGCTCAGGTCAGAGAACTTTGAACTCATCTGGGATGGCCAGAGTGATTATTAAGTCACTTAATTGTTGGGATTTTAAAAATTTTTTCTATTTGCATCCTAAAGCATAACTGTATGATAAATACATAGTCTGTTCTTTACTAACTCTAGGAAACATGCACCAGATCAGGGCTTGTTCTATCCCTCATGACTACTGATTCACTATCCAAACTCTGCACAATGCCCCTTTGTCTACTCTTAGAATGTCATGACATTCCCATTTTGCCTATTTTCCTGGATAAACACCACTGGCTCTCTTTTTCTCTCAAACAACTCATTGTTTCTGTTGTGCTTCTCAAAGAACTTGTGTATGCATTTTTGCTTTTTTCTGTTAGTTCTTTCCTAAATCAGATGCTGTATGCTGTAGGACATGCTAAGGACACATGCTAAGGACAGCAGAGTACAGCCTGGCTGATACGATTTGGGATGCACCTACCAGTGTTAGCTGGTGTGACTGGCATCTGCTCCTCCTGCAAACAGCATCAGGCTAGTGACTTTTATTGTTAGTCATCATATCCTGCAACTTCTAACCTGTTCCTTGACTTCTTTGCCATTCTCCTACTTGTGCATCTGATTATTTCTGGCTGCATGCACTGCTTTCCATGAATCTCCTGAATGACACCAACAGTTCTCTCATTTATGTCAGGACTCATGTCTACTTGATGAGCCTGTCTTCCAAAGTACCAGTAATTCCTCCTGTATTTGTATCACTTGCATGTCTGACTGGCTTCTCAAATCCAGGGGTCTTTAATGACAGTTCAGACTTGTACTAAACCATCCGGTGTGTCAGCTGGCATCTACATGGTAAATGAGTCAACTCTGCTGAAAAAATCTTGTTTGGGACAGATGAAACACCTGTTCCTATGTGCAGCAACTCACCTAGTTTCCAACTCTCGTTGCCCTCTAAAAATGGCATGTGGAATGACAGCAAATAATCAGCTAAAGCTGACTGATACTATGTCCATTACATCTCTTATTATTCGTTAGCTTTTATGATCTAGTAAAAAAAAAAAGACAAGCCCTAAAACTTAACCCTAAACATTAAAGTTAATTTACCCTAACCCAAACCCTAAACCTTGAACCTAAATCTAACACCTAAGGCTAAATTCTAACCCTAAATTTAACCCCTAAACCTAACACTTAATGCTAAAACTAATCCTGACTCTAACTCCTAATCCTAAAGTCTAGTCCCTAACCATAAACCCTAATCCTAACATAACCCCCTAAATCTAACCGTCTAACCCCTAATTCTAACCACCTAGCCCTAACCCCAAAATGTAAACCTAATCCTAAACATAATGCTAACTATAAACCCTAATCCCAAAACCTAACCCTAATCTCCAACCCTAACCCTAAACTCTAACCACTAACCCTGACTCTCCCTAAACCCAAATCTAAATCTAACTCACTAACTCACAAACTCTAACCTCGTAACCATAACCCTAATCCCAAAACCTAAACCTAACAATAACCATAACCCCCTAACCCTAACGCTAACCCTATCACTAACCCTAACCTTACCACTGAGCCTAAACCCTAAACCTAACCCTAAACCCTAAGGCTCACCCTAACCCCTAACCCTAACCTTAATTGCCTGACTGTAACCGTAACCCAGAAACCCTAATCCCAACCCAAACCCGCTAACCATAACCCTATCTCAAACCCTTAAACCTAACCCTATCCCTAACTATAACTTTACCCACTAACCCTGTCCCTCACCCCTAACCTTTAATGTAACCCCTAACCCTAACCCCTAACCCTGCCCTAAACTAAATCTAACCCTAACTCCCAACACAAAACCTAACCACAAAACCTAACACTAACACTAAACCTTAATAGTAACCCTAGCCCCTAAATCTGACCATAACCACTAATCGTAAACCATGGTATCTAACCATTAACCCTAGCTCCCTAAATGTAACCACCTAACTCTAACCCATAACCCTAAGCCCAAACTTAACCCTAGTCCTAAAACTAATGCTAACGCTAATCCCTAACATCTCTCACCCTATCCCTAACCTGTAATCCCCTAACCCTATCCCTAACCCTATTTCTAACTCCTGATCGTAACCCTAATCCCTAACTCTAAGCATATCACTAAAACTACAGCGAATCCTAAACCTAACTGTAATCCCAGCCACCTAATCCTAACCCTATCCATACCCCAACCCCAATCCTAAACCTAACCCTAACCTCTAACCCTAACACTATCCCTAATGATAACCTCTAACCCTAACTCTAAACCCCTAACCGCATAACTAAACCTAATCCCTAACCCTAACTCTAAACATATCCTTAACCCTAAACCTAACCGTAACCCCAACCACCTAACCCTAACCCTATCCCTAACCCTATCTGATGGCTTCTGCCAGTGCCCACAAGGGGCCCTGCTTCCCTCCAGAGTGCCCTAGGGCTTTTGCTGGACTTCGGTTATGTCCAGGCAGGTCACCACTGCCTTCCAGAGTGTCTGACAGCTTTTGCTGGGCTTTGCAGGTGCCCACAAGCGGCTGCCAAGGGAAGGTGAGGGCCACTTTCAGTCCTGGCCACTTCCGTGTGGGAGCCTTAGGTGGTGGGTGTGCATTTTGGAGATGTGCTCTGGTGAGGGGGTAGGCGAGGGTTAGGTGCTAGAGCAAGTGCAGAGCCCCAGTGTTGGTGGGGCTGCGAAGGGGCTGGAAGGGAAGGGGAGGGCAGCCTTCAGTCCTGGCCACTTCTGTGTGAAAGCCATGCCTGGTGGGTGTCAGTTTTGGAGATCGACTTTGGATAGGGTGAAGGTGTAGGTAAGTAAGTCATCTTCTTGAACTCAGACTGAAGCCAACAGGAATCTTTCACGTTATTTAAAGGGTACTGGATGGAATCCTACAGAAAATTGGCATGACTTTGAGTTGATGATTCTGACTAGTGCCTGTCACTTATAGCCCTGCAGACACTTGCACACTAGCTGCTGTTAGAATTCACCAGGGACTGTTCCTACCTGTCAGTCTTGGGGTAACTCTGCTTTTGCTCTCCTTCAGAACACCCTCCAGTCCTTTTGAAGTCTTTCTGTGATTCATATGCTTCATTTCTCAAATTAGTAATAGTTCAGTTTCCTCTGTGAATGAATGTGCTACAGTAGGTAAAAATCGCCAGCCCTATCTGTCCCTCCCTTCTCTGCATAATGAATCCTCCTTTGTATCAGCCTTACCTTCCCCAAAGCAAATTATTCCACACTGGTAAGTGACAAATTTGCTTCTTCCAAAAGGAATCCTTTCCTTTTTAGATAATCCTTTTAACACTCTCCTGTACCCTAGTTGCTAATATACTTTCTCACATTGTGCCACTATCTTGCCAGCCTCTCCTCTTTGCTGTTTAACAATTGCATGCATAAATGGACTGTGCCACTTGTCAGTTACAGAGAGGGTATTTCTGACCAAGTGCTCAATTAGCATGTGAGAGCTCTTGTTTTCAGCTGTAAAATCAGCTCCAGAGGAGAAGACATGCTTTTCACCTTCCTCCTGTCCATGTCAGTTAAACATGCAGGTCCACACCGTAAAGGTCTCTGGACATTGACGAATCTGTTGCCAACAGTTATCGTGGAACCTTCCCATCAAGCTTTGTTACAGGCAGCGCTTACAGAAAAAAAAAAAACATTTATATGACTAAATAGAACTGCAGGTCATAACACCATGGCTGACACCTCACTTCAATTCATTCCCCTAAATCACTGGCTAATCCTATGGTGTCAGTACCTGGTTTACATCCTCATCAAACGGAATTCCTGGTGGGTTTCCATACCCCAAAGTTCCTTGGCATTAAATGACATGTTGTTATTGACCTTAACACAGGTTTTCTGAATTTTTGCACAAAGTAGTGTTTTTGCCAAAGACCAGGATTTTTGTGTCATTACCTGGGAATCCCAGCGTCCATTGTGAAAGATAGAAATTTTGGCTTTAAAAGATGTGATTA